GCAAGAGACCTCAATAGACAGTTCTCAAAAGAAGAAATACATATGACCAACAAAAATAAGAAAAAAAAATGGAGGCTGGCATTGTGTAATAGTGGGTAAAGGTGCTACCTACAATGCCAGTATCCCATAGGGCACTGGGTTCGAGTCCCAGCTGCTCCACTTCTAATCCAGCTTCCTGGTAATGGGCTGGGAAAAGCAGCAAAGATGGTCCAAGTTCTTGGGCCCCTGCCACCCACACAGGAGATCTGGATGAAGCTCCTGGCTTCAGCCTGGCCCAGCCCTGGCTGTTGTGACCATCTGGGGAGTGAACCAGTGGATGAAAGATCTGTCTCTGTCTCCCTTTCTCTGTAACTCTTTCAAATAATAAATAAATAAAGCTCAACATCATTAGCCACCAGGAAAATACAAATCAAAACCACAATGTAGGTATCACTTCACTCCATGAGAATAGCTAAAATCCAAAAAGAGAAACAAATGCTAGAGAGGATGTTTTACGGGGAACACTTACACATTGTTGGTGGGACAGCAAATTAGTGCAGCCACTGTGCAAAACAGTGTGGAGATTTCTTAAAAAACTAGGAATAGACTTGCCACATGATCCAGTAACCCACAACTGGGTATAGACCCAAAAGACTTGAATATAACGTATCAGAGACACCTGCACCACCATGCTCATATCAGCACTGCTCACAGTAGCCAAAATATGGACTCAACTGGGGTGTCCTTCATCAGGTGAATGGATAAAGAAAATGTGGTATATATTCACAAATATTATTCAGCTATTAAAAAATAAAATTCTACCATTTGCTCAAAATGGACACAACTGGAGGATGTCATGTTGAGTGAAATAAGCTGGATACAGAAAGACAAATACCACGTGTTCTCCCTTGTACGTGGGAGCTAAGATTTGAAAAGAAAAAGACCTGTGTGTATCAGTATTGCTGCAAATATAGTTTTGTCAAACTTCTTTTTATACCAGTGGTTAACAATGTTGTCCTAGGCTGGCGCCGTGGCTCAATAGGCTAATCCTCCGCCTTGCGGCGCCAGCACACTGGGTTCTAGTCCTGGTCGGGGCGCCGGATTCTGTCCCGGTTGCCCCTCTTCCAGGCCAACTCTCTGCTATGGCCAGGGAGTGCAGTGGAGGATGGCCCAAGTGCTTGGGCCCTGCACCCCATGGGAGACCAGGAGAAGCTCCTGGCTCCTGGCTCCTGCCATCGGATCAGCGTGGTGCGCCGGCCACAGCGCGCCGGCCGCGGCGGCCATTGGAGGGTGAACCAACGGCAAAGGAAGACCTTTCTCTCTGTCTCTTTCTCTCACTGTCAGGGGCAGGGGGTCCCTGTCCAAAAAAAAAAAAAAAAAAAAAAAAAAAAAAAAGTTGTCCTACTAAAGTAAAACTAAAGTTTTAATGATCTGTGATTATTTTAAAACTTACAGTATATGGGTATACTGTATATCTTTCCACTTCATTGCTGTGTATGGCCCTGTCTTTTTTCTTTTTACTTGTTGATCTCTTTATTTAGTGCAGTATTAAGCCCTTGACTACAATGTTAATTAAAAGTATGTTATCTCAAAAACTAAAAAAGAGGGGCTGGCACTGTGGCACAGTGGATTAGGCCACTGCCTGTGATGCCAACATCCCACATGGGCACTGGTTCAAGTCCTGGCTGCTCTACTTCCCATCTAGCTCCCTGCTAATGGCCTGGGAAAGTGTCCAGGAGCTTCATCTGGCTCTCCCATGTGGGTGGCAGGGACCCAAGCTCCTGGCTTCAGCCTGGCCGAGCCCAAGCCAATGTGGCCATTGGGGAATGAATCAGCAGATAGAAGATCTATCTCTGTTTTTCTCTCTTTCTCTAACTCTGCCTTTCAAATAAATTTTAAAAATCTTAAAAAAAAAAAGAAACGGGAGGGGAGGGAAGGGAATATCGTAATATTCTTAGAATTGTCTCTATGAACTATATTGAATCTGTTCTCTGTATTAATATTACAGTAACATAAAAATCAGAAAAAAAGATAAAATAATATGCCAAGCACCAACCAGGACAGGTGGTTGAAGGGCTCTAATGAGTATGTAAAAATTGTACAGCATTATGCAAATTGTGGAATGGTTCTGTGTCGCTCCCCCTCTTCATGGAGGAACGACACAGGACCCTACGCTGTTCTTTTGTCTGCTCGGCCCTCCCCGGGTTTGCTGCTGGTTCTTCCCGGGTTGGCTACCGTCCCTTCCACCTCCGTGGAAGGGCGGTTCCCCCTGCCACTTTCCCCACTTCCGCGGGGGAGCGGCACACTGCCGGCCGGCTCTCTCGGGGGCTGCACAGGTGTTCCTTCAGATAGATGTTCCTGGTGCATGCTGTCTCTCTCCTCCTTTATAGTCCTCTTCCACCAATCCCAACCCTGCTACCCACACGCCGAGTACGCTGCTCTCCTCCAATCAGGAGCAGGTCCTGCTGTTTATTGGTTGAACTGGAGGCAGCTGGGTAGAAGCTGTTTCCTCCTCTCCCAGCGCCATATTGTGGGAGAGCAGATGCATAGAATAAGTCTTAATTCCAGTAACTTAGTCTAGTCTGAGTTGCTCCCAGTTGCTCCCCACAGTTCTGTTCTCATGAGTCTCAATGTAAAATGAAGATCTTTGTTACATTTTCTAAATGAGGGTTCTCTTTGTGTATACTTTGATGACTTCCAGAGAGACTCGGAGGACAGCAAATAGAAACTGAATTTTGTGAGATATACATAAAGAAAAAGAGGTCAAATACCTGAAATTAACTTTCATGAAGTGAAGGTGTGCATGGAAGATACCAGCATTAAGAACATGGCCATGCCACTATTGAGGCTTGGTGGATTGAGCTGCAGCTCGGGGTGCCCACGTCCCATATCAGGAGTGCCTGGGAGGCAGCAAATAATGGTCCACACACTTGGGTCCCTGCCTCTCATGTGGAGACCCAGATGGAATTCCTGGCTCCTGGCTTTAGCCTGATCCGTCCCTGACCACTGTGGGCACTTCAGGAGTGAATGAGTAAACAGTAGATGTGTCTCTCTCTTTCCCTCTCTCTGTCACTTGGCCTTTCATATAAAGAAAGAAAGAAAAACTAAATAGAAGCTGACCATTCTCTAGAAGTTCCTCTTATTGAATAAGCCCTTCCAATGGCTGCTCACAGCACCCTATGGAACACTGATAGAAACCGTGTTCTGAGCTGTTCTGCTAGGTGTATACTTAGAAGTAGAACTGCTTGCTCACTTGTGGGTATACAAATGTTCACTTTTAGTACAAACTGGGTAACAGCTCCAAATGGTACTACCAATTTACATTCCCACAAGTGATGTATGAGTTTCTGGTCCTCCCACATCCCTGTCACCGCGTGAAATATATTCACTCTCTGCCCTCTCCCTTCATTTTAGCCCTTCTTGGAGGTGGGTATTAGTGTCACATTTTGCTTTTAATTCGTCTTTCCTTGATGCCTGGTGAAGGGCAGAACCTAATGAATTTTAAAGTTGCTCAGAATTTTGGTTTAGTAGCTGTCTTTTTTTCCCCTATTTTTCCTCCCAAAATCAGCCTCAAAGATTATAGGTAAATAGCACCCTTCCCAAATGATCTACTTTTATGTACTCATTTCTGAAATTTAGTTACTTTATAATCTCCCATGCGGGTGCAGGGCCCAAGCACTTGGGCCATCCTCCACTGCACTCCCGGGCCACAGCAGAGAGCTGGCCTGGAAGAGGGCCAACCAGGACAGAATCCGGCGTCCAGACCGGATTTTTAAAAAAATATAAGTAGTCTAAATCCCTTAGGAATGGCTCTTGTTCTCAACCTGCCAATGTGAACTTCTGATTTGCTTGGATTCATTTTTGTAAATTTATTTGAAAGAAAGGGGGAGCACCCATCTGCTGGTTCACTTCCCAAATGCCTGCAAGTAGCTAGGACTGGGCTGGGCCACGGCCAAGAGCTGCGGACACACTCCAGGCTGCCGACTCTTGTGGGAGGAATCCACTACTTGAGCCATAACTGCTGCCTTAGTAGGATCTGGAGTTAGGAGCTGGAGCCAGGAATGGAACCCATGCAAAGTAAGGTGGGGTGTGGGCATCTTAACCATGAGGCTAAACCTCTAGCCCTAGAGAGTCCCTTATTGACTTACCTCAAAATACTGGAAGGAAAAAAATCAGATTCCAGGAGTCTACAGTGATAGCGATGAATAAGTAAATGGGACAAGGAGAAGCTTGTCCATATAGTAGGATGCTAATGTATAAATGTAGGAGGAATGAGGAAACAGATAATCACTTTTGTCAACAACCATAGCAATGTTTCATGAAAGAAGTATTAATTGATGCTGAATTAGTGAGAAAAACACCACTTTAGCCAAATGGTCAGACACCCCCAGCAATGGGACAAAATACGCATCATGATATCCTGATACAACTGACATTTCTGCGTTGCCAGCCCCGCCAAGGCACATGCAGCCTGCACCGAATATGAGAAATCAGAGAAACATAATCAAGGATGGCCCTCAAAATAAGTGACCTGCACACTGCAAACAAGTCAGCATCCTGCGAATCAGACTGGGGAACAACTCCATGTTCAAAGGATTTGGCAACCAAATGCAGTGTCTGACCCTGGGCTGGGTCCTGCCATCACATCCTCAATGTGATGGCAAAGAATATAAATGAATATGGGGTTGGTGTTGTGGCACAGTGGGTTAAGCCACAGCCTGCAATGCCAGCATCCCATGTGAGCACCAGTCGGAGTCCTGGCTGCTCTACTTCTGATCCAGCTCCCTGCTAATGTGCCTCCGAAAGCAGCAGAAGGTGGCCCGAGGACTTGGGCCCCTGACACCCATGTCAGAGACCCAGATGATGGAGTTCCAGGTTTCCGACTTCGGCCTGGCCTACTGCTGGCTGTTGTGGCCATTTAAGGAGTGAACCAGTGGATGGAAGATTCTCTCTCTGTGTGTGTGTAAAACTCTACCTTTCAAATAAATAATCTCTAAAAAATATATTAATTAAATACTTACATCTTGTTAATTTCTTTGGACTCTGTGAAGGCACTGGCTGGTTATCACCGTGTAAAAGAGGAAGTTCTGATCGCTCTTGGACCCAGCCTTGGGAGAGGGAAGTAAGAGTTATCCATTGTTAATCAGATAAGAAGTAGCACCAGGAAAACAAGAAAATGTAAAAACATCAGTCCTGTGGGCTTTGATTCTGTAGTATACAAGAATTTATCTGAAATTTCATCTGAAAATGTGTATTTATGTGTTTTATTCAGTCATTAAGTTTTATCCCAGTAAGAGATGAGACTCTGGTATATTTTTCAGAGTGCCTTTGCAATAAATATTAAAAAGGAAAATTGCAGGGCAGGTGTCTAGAGCAGTAGTTAGGATGCCACTTGCCATGCCTACGTACCATATCCGAATGGTTGGTTGAGCCCCACCTCTGCTCCCAATTTAGCTTCCTGCTAAGGTGCCCTGAGAAAGCAGCAGGTGATGGCTCTAGTACTTGGGTTCTTGCCACCCACGTGGGAGACCTGGATGGAGTTTCAGACTCCTGGCTTTGTCCTGGTTCAGCCCTCGCTATTGTAGGCATTTGAAAAGTGAACCAATGAATGGAAGATCTGTGTGTGCATATGTTTCTGCCTTTCAAATAAAAATGAAAATATTTATTTTAAAATTTATTTTTTTACCTAGAAAACTTTTATTTAAGGTATACAAACTTCATGCATTTCATATATACAATTTTAGGAACACAGTGATTATTCCCACCCTGCCACCCTCCCTTCCACCCATCTTACCTCTCCTATTCCCATTCTTATTTTTACTAAGATCTCAAAAATAGATTTTTAAACTGAAATTGTGTCCTTTTCAAAAAACAAAGCAGATGAAAATGGAGAAATATAGAAAGAGAAGGGCTAAGGAATCAGGAAAAGGCCCGAGAATTAAAGTGCTGGAACCTATAAGTATGTTTGTATCCTTGGACTTGGTAATCTCATTCCTAGAAGTTTATTTCAAGAAAATAATTTAACCAAAGCAGAAAGTACATGCATGATGATGATGTTTATAGCAGCATTATTTGTAATAATGAACAAATAGAAATAATAAAGTAGGAATTAAGTAGAGTGTAGTATATACATGACAAAACAGCATGTAAAGAAACTGTCATTATGGGAACACATGAAAAACCATTTATGCCATAAGTAAGAAGCAGCACTAGAAAGGAACTTAGATCATCCTGTGTAACCCTTTCCTCGTACAGAAGAGGGTGTCTGAGGCCCTGGTATGATTGGTGCCCTGGTTTGAATGTCCCTTCCAAACCCAGGGTGAAATGCATTTGCCATCTTGGCCGTGTGAAGAGGCGGGACTTGGCGGGAGGCCCACGTCACAGACTGCTGCTGTGACGGCGGGACCCTGACCCGAGGGGTGTTCAGCCCCCAGCCTTTCCAGCGCTTGCTTGCTGGCTACCTTTGGCCGTGGATGACGCAGTCCAAAGGCTGGGAGCCGAGCTCATGGGCTCCCAGCATCCAGAACTGTGAGCCGAATGAACCTCTCTCGTTTATACATTAGTCTGTTCTGTCGTTGCAGACTAAGCACATGGGTTCCTAGAATTCAGATCTTTTGATCTTTTTTTTTAATTTTTTATTTATTTATTTATTTTGACAGGCAGAGTGGACAGTAAGAGAGAGAGACAGAGAGAAAGGTCTTCCTTTACCGTTGGTTCACCCTCCAATGGCCGCCACGGCTGGCGCGCTGCGGCCGGCACACCACGCTGATCCGATGGCAGGAGCCAGGTGCTTCTCCTGGTCTCCCATGGGGTGCAGGGCCCAAGCACTTGGGCCATCCTCCACTGCACTCCCGGGCCACAGCAGAGAGCTGGCCTGGAAGAGGGGCAACCGGGACAGAATCCGGCGCCCTGACCGGGACTAGAACCCAGTGTGCCAGCACCGCAGGCGGAGGATTAGCCTAGGGAGCTGCGGCGCCAGCCCTCTTTTGACTCTTAAAGAAGCTCACTTTTCTGGTCTACGTCACAGGACAAAAGGGTGGACACAGAGGAAAGGCCTGTGGAGCCCGGCCCTGTACTAGGAGACAGGTCGACAGATTTCGGTTCCCTCTCAACTGTTTACACTGCCTGACAGCCCTCAGCAAGCCACTCACACACTGGCTTCCCACGTGCCTCGGCTCTTAAAGTGAGTATCCTGCGGGCAGGGACCTGAGTAGTGAAAAAATACTGTTGATACTGTATTGCCAGAAACAGGAAGCCCGGTGCTGCTGGAGAGGGAGCAAGTTGACGAGAAAGAGAAGTAAGTCTGTGTAACTACTGCATTACTGGTACGCTGTTACAGAGGAAGGGTCTTCAGGGTCAGTGTGGGGTGCAGTGGGCAAGCCATGCCTGCAACACTAGCATCCCATTTGGGCACTCGTTTGAGTCCTGGCGGCTGCACTTCTGATCTAGCTCCCTGCTAACGTGCCTTGGGAAGCAGCCCAAGATGGCCCAAGTGCTTGGATCCCTGTACCCACATGGCAGACCTGGAAGGAGTTCCAGGCTCCTGGCTTTGGCCTGGCCCAGCCCTGGCTGTGGTGGGCATTTGGTGAATAAACCAGCAGATGGAAGATCTCTCTCTCTCCCTCTCTCCCCCTCCCTCCCTCCCTCCCTCCCTCCCTCCCTCCCTCTGTAACTCTGCTTTCAAATAAAATAATTTTAAAGAAGTGTTTTCTAAAATTTCACCATAGAAAAGCAGCTGAATGATCCTAAATGGGGTGCCTCTATTAAATACTACTGTCCGTTCATTTAAGCTATTCAACAAATCTGGCTGATTATTTAACTGATATTTATTTATTGAGTCAACTTTATGTTGCTCTCATGGAAGCACAAAGATGAATCACCGCGCAGATCATGGCGTTGGCATGCTTGCAGATAAAGCACGCACGTACTACAGAGCTATCGTGCACTGAGATACTGCTGTGTGCCAAAAAGGCATTTTCAGAGGTTAAAATCTAGGGGACGCAGGGCAGGGATACAGGCAGGACAAACTAGGACTGTAACAGCCATGAAAGCAGACGAGCCGCAGCTCTGGGGAAGGCCAGAGGAGGAGAAGGCCCGGTCGCTGGGAGGCGCTGTGGGAGGCTTCAAGGACTGGGAATCTGGTGCTGGGGTTCCAGCGGGGCACACGGCAAGAGAAAGCCACTCAACAGAGACGTCTCCGCGGGATCTGAGCACTGGACAGCGCAGGGAAGGGGGACAGGCCGGCCTGGCAGGTTTTATCCTGGAGCCCACGGTGCTTCGTTTTTTTAAAAATGTAAGCAAGGAGCTGACTTCAGGATCTGCTTCTTGGAGACAGAACTCGGGAGGTAGAGCGGAGGCTGAACTGGGCACTGGAGCCCCGTTAGGAGCTCTCTCGCAGCAACCCAGGACACCTACTGAGGGTCCGAGGGCTCCGGGTGTGGCGGGGAAGAGGAGGAACAGGCCGGAAGCCGCGTTTCCCAGACAGAACTCACGGGACTCAGTAAGCGATGTGGGTGTGGGGAACAACAAGGCTTCCAAGGTGCAGGGCTGGGCACAGGCTGGAACAGCAGAGGCGCTGAGGGAGGGAAACCCTTGCCCCAGGCTTCTTCCCTCAGTCCCTGCCCGTGAGGCCGCCCCAAACCAGCCTTGGGAGATGCCCTTTCTCTTCTTGTCAACTCCGGGCCCACAGGAAGGGAGCCTGAGTGTTTCAGTAACCTAGCAGGTGGAGGTGTTTTAAACCTGACACCAGGGAAAGTCAATGAAGGAAGCATGGGGTTGGGTGCAGGCGGCAGCAAGCAGCCCTTGTTTAAGGCCGGTGGAGAGATTCCAGTGGCAATGATAGTTGGTTTTTCCCCCAGTTGGTAGATGTGACAGCAGATTTGATCCAGTAGTACTGAAGTTAAAACTGAACTCCTTGTTGATCCCAGCATCAACAAGCACACACTTGTCCCTCCCAGGATAAAATCAGGCCCGTCCATCCAAGTGTTGCATAGATACTCACTGTTGAACGCTCCCGCAGCATGGAGGCCAAGGTCAAAGAGCTGGGAGGGGAGGAACTGCGACGCGTGGGCGAGAGGCTCGGGCCCCACGGGAGACTCCGGGGGCGCGCGGCTGGCACGGGGGCTCCCAGAGGCCGTCTGGCCCTCCGGGGGAGATTCACCCGTGCCCGAGGGGCTGGGGCTCAGGATGCTGTTCAGGAATGAGAACTCCTTCTCAAAATCTTCTCCTTCCAGTGAATCCACAGGCAGATCTTTTGCAACTGCTTAGTGAAAATAAAAACAGAAAGGCTTTGTTCTTTTTAAGGTCATGAGAGTAGAATGTAGGACAAATAAAATGCTTCTGTACTCCATTAACATAATTGTTAGTGAACAACAAAACTGATTGGAAAGTTACGTGAACATTATTTCTAGGACAGGATTTAGATCCAAACAGCCATATTTCCCAATGAAGATACAGTAGTTATGAAGATCTATTTACAAAATAATGGACAGGGGCTGGCGCTGTGGCATAGAGGTACAGCCGCTGCCTGCCATGCCGGCATCCCATATGGGTGCCAGTTCAAGTCCCGGCTGCTCCTCTTCCGATCCAGCTCTCTGCTATGGCCTGGGAAAGCAGTAGAAGATGGTCCAAGTCCTTGGGCCCCTGCACCTACACAGGAGACCCAGAAGAACTCCTGGCTCCTGGCTTCAGACTGGCGCAGCTCTGGCTGTTGCGGCCATCTGGGGAGTGAACCAGTGGATGGAAGACCTCTCTCTCCCTCTGCCTCTGCCTCTCTGTAACTCTGCCTTTCAAATAAATAAATAAATTCTTAAAAAAAAAAAAAACAAACTCCAAAACAATGGACAGAAATGACAGAGATGCTAGGAAATAGATAGACAGATACTAGTGGAAAGCAGGTCAACAGGACAAAAGAAAAAATAGAAAATATCTAAACAGCATATTAGTAAGTAGTTATTTTGGATATTCACAAACCCTGACAATAGAAACAAAAGCTTCTCAAGCACACATTGAAAATTTATTAAAAATTGGCAATTCTGGCCGGCACCAAGGCTCACTAGGCTAATCCTCTGCCTGTGGCGCCAGCACCCCGGGTTCTAGTCCTGGTTGGGGTGCCGGTTCTGTCCCGGTTGCTCCTCTTCCAGTCCAGCTCTCTGCTGTGGCCCACCTGCGGCACCGGCACCCTGGGTTCTAGTCCCGGTTGGGGCGCCGGTTCTGTCCCGGTTGCCCCTCTTCCAGTCCAGCTCTCTGCTGTGGCCCAGGAAGGCAGTGGAGGATGGCCCAAGTGCTTGGGCCCTGCACCCACATGGGAGACCAGGAGGAAGCACATGGCTCCTGGCTTCGGATCGGCGCAATGCGCCGGCTGTAGCATGCTGGCCATTAGTGGCCATTTGGGGGGTGAACCAACGGAAAAAGGGAAGACCTTTCTCTCTGTCTCTCTCTCTCTCACTGTCTAACTCTGCCTGTCAAAAAAAAATTTTTTGGCAATTCTAAGGCAAAAAAAAATCAGTGAGTTCTTCAAGTAGAAATATTACCAATGATATGATCTGATTACAATGCAAGAAACTAAAATAATTTAACAAGTAAACCAAAAACCAAAAGGCTTTTGTATCCATAAATTTTTAGTTGAAAAGTAAACTCTATGAAATATAATCATAAATAAGCAATGAGCAGAGGAAAAATCACAGTGCTAGAACCCCATTATCAGTGAAAATGAAAGGCAGGGACTTCTGGCATGACAGAGTGGGGAGCTCTAGGAACCTGCATCCCTAAGTAACAGGTGCAATTTATTTTCTTGAGAAAACAAGCATTTAAAGTCTGCAAGTAGTCCCGATGACATACAGCACATGAAGAAACGTTTGCCAGCAAATCTACTAGAATCCAGGAGGCACAGTGCCTGCAGTATTTGGACTGAGAACCACTCCCTTCTTCCCTCCTCCCTAGACAGCAAGGTGGCAATGCCGCCTGAGCCTGGTGCAGCCGGTGACACAGGGCTCCCTCCTGCCGGCTCCCATCCAAGGGCTACTTTCCCCGGAGTGGCTCGCTGCCATCCTCACATCCTGCCCCCACGTACCACATCCTGCTGAGACTAAGTCCCAAGTGACTGCAGTGCCAGATGCTCTGGGAAGGACACCTGCACCCCATATCAGAAAGCCTGGTGCGAGTCCCAGCTCCTCCACTTCCAATCCAGCTTCCTGCTAACTAACACACACCCTGCGAGGCAGCAGATAATGGCCCACCTGGGTCCTTGCCGCCCCCATGGGAGAGCTAGATTGAGTTCCTGGCTCCTGGCTTCAGACTGGCCCAGCCCCTAGCTGTTGTGAGCATCTGGGGATTTTGGGCCTCGTTCACTTGACCCTGCCTCTGAGGTAGCAGTGTCCTGAAGAAGTGCCAGGCCTCAGTGTATTGTCACCTCTCTCACCTGGCTCGCAGCTCCTGGAGGAACAATGTCGCTCAGAGAAAAGCATGCCATTGCCCCCAGTTCCAGTTCATGCCCTGATTCAGAGACTGTCCTTGGGGAACAAAGCAGACAGAAAACTCACAGCTCCTGCTCTCTTCCCAGAGGAACCAACTTCTGTTGTAACACAGTATGGAGAAAGTCAAGCCTAAGGATGCTCTCAGAAGCACTGATGGTGGGGGAGGGGTGGGAGTCTGACCCAGTGGTTCAGATGCGGGTTAAGATGGCAGCATTCCACATCCGGATATTTGGGTTTGGGGCCGTGGCTGTAGCACAGCAGGTTATGGGCCTGGGCTGCAGCACCAGCCGCTGCACCTCCTACTCAGCTCCCTGCTGATGCACCTGGGAAAGCAGCAGAGGACAGCCCAGGTCCTCAGGCCCCCGCACCCACAAGGGAGACCCGGAGGAAGTTCCTAGTTTCTTGGCTTCAGATCGGCTCAGCTCTGGCAATTGTGGCCATTTGGGGAGACCTTTCTCTGTCTCTACTTCTCTCTGTATCTCTTTCAAATAAGTAAAAGTAAATCGTTAAATTAAAAAAAGAAGAATATTTGGGTTCAATCCTTGCTCCAGCTCCCAGCTCTGTTATAGGTAAGATCAGAAAAAGAGCTGGAGGAAATACGTGACCATACCCTCCCTCCCCCAGGAATGCCTCTAAGACTCATTCCGTGGTCAGCAACCCAAAATCCCTACTGCAGCAAAGCCACCACCCAGAACCAGTGCTGGCTGGAAATATCTAACACGGCTGCTGATGGCATCCCCGTGGTGGCCCATGGCCTAATACAATATCGTTATAGTAGAATCACCATGACTCACACCCATCATGTACTTGATGCCATGACACTTCTGAGACTTCCTAAAAAGGCCAGAAATTGAGCAGTCACCAAATTCCTGGAAATCCCAGCCCTTGTGTGGAAAACTCCACCCAAAGTAGCACTGAAGCCAAACCCCTATAATATAAAGCACCACCCAGCCTCTCTATTTCCCTTAGCCCAAGGTGTCCTTGTCTATCCTTTATCAAAAGGAATTCACGGAACTGACAGAGTGATACAATTGGCCTCACAAGGCTCTAATCATCGGACCCAGGAAGCCATTTGCTTCTCCAATAGATAGGACCTTAATGGCCAGTGTTGGCCACAGGGGTTTGTTTAGGGGAATTCCAGGTCCACCTGCACATAACCCCCAGACCAACCTACCTGGTCATCATAAATTCCCTAAAGAGCCCAGCGTCAGGGCCCAACCATAGAGAGGTCATGAGCATCACTGACCATCCAGGAACTTGGACGTGAGTGCATCACGCACCTCTCAGCCCCAGTTTCAGTCTCTAAGAACCTTCACCGTAGCTGCTCCGGGAGCCCAGGAATTAAGCGATAGCTGCCCAGCTCCTTCTCTGCGCTTTGCAATAAACTCCTTTCTCTACCACCTTGATGGCAGGGATTTGCTTTCTGTGTTTTGTGTGAGTGGACCCGGTTGGCAGGTTCTACAAGAATACCTCCAACTCGTTCAAGGTTATATTCAGTACCACCACCCCCTATTCGTCCAGACCACATAAGGGGATACAGCTCACCCTAGAGCCTGCCCTACCAGCTTTGAGTATGTACTTTTGTTTCTCTAGTAAATCTTGTTCCTCCACAAATGTGATCTACAGCTTCTCTTTGAATTCTTTCCTGCATCAGAGATAAGCACCCGGATTCACTCAGCTAACAGCCCCAGCGTCCTGCCAGTGCAGACCCCCGGAGGCAGCAGCAATGGCTTCAGTGTGAATGCCTGCCACCCACATGGATTGAGCTCCTGGCTCCTGGCTTCAACCCCGGTCCTGTAACAGCCTTTGCAAGTATTCAGGAAGTTCCTCTCTTCCCTCCCTCCCAAATAAATTAAAAATAAGTAAATATCAGAGACTGTGGAGAAAAGCAACTGTGAGGAAACTGAGAATGTCATTGGTGGCTAAACTTTAGGCCAGCTTGTTTGTTTGGAAGAACAAGGGAAAAAAGCCAGCTGGGGGTCGGAACAAATTTCAAGCACTGACTATTCCTTCAATGGAGTCCAAGTTTAATTGCTTAAGTCTGTGGACAATTGATGCTGCAGGGCATTGCTGCGATCCATAGACCAATCAGCTAGGCGTGAGTGGAGCTTCAAGCTGGGTGTGGTCAAGGAGCCGCCTCAGAGAACTCTGCTAGAGCCACGCCCAGCCCTGCCTGACGTGGGCACAGGCAAACCTGCCTCCTGTTAGGGGTCCCCCATTAGGGGTGCAAGAGGGCAAGATGAAGAAAGATTCCTGGGGCCTGTGCTGCGGCGGAGCGGGTAAAGCCTCAGCCTGCAGTGCCAGCATCCCACGTGGGTGCTGGTCTGTGTCCCAGCATCTCCACTTCTGATCCAGCTCTGCTATGGCCTGGGGAAGCAGTAGAGGATGGCCCAAGTCCTTGGGCCCCGGCACACGCATAGGAGACCCAAAAGAAGCTCCTGGCTCCTGGCTTCAGCTCAGCTCAGCTCTGGCTGTTGCGGCCATCTGGGGAGCCAGCTAGAGGATGGAAGACTTCTCTCATGCTCTGTAACTCTGCCTTTCAAATAAATAAATCAATATTTAAACAAAAAGAGAAAGAAAAAACTCCTGTGCAATAATCCAGCCTATCATATACAAATAAACAAGCAAATCTTGGAAACCATAACTGCTGAGGGGTGGGGGGACCAGTACCCAAAATTACTAAAATACATCATCTAAAACGTCTAATTTCCAACACAACCATATGAGGCATGCAAAGAAACAAAAATATACCTGACCCATCGACCACAAAGAAGGCAGGCCACAGGAGCCACACGTGAGAGCGGCCAGCTGCCAGATGGAACAGACACAGACTTCAAAGGGCCGGCGCTGCGGCGTAGCCAGTAAAGCTGCCCTGCAGTGCCAGCATCCCATATGGGTGCCTGTTCGAGACCCGGCTGTTCCACTTCCAATCCAGCTCTCTGCTGTGGCTTGGGATAGCAGTAGAAGATGGCCCAAGTCCTTGGGCCCCTGCACCCACGTGGGAGACCTGGAGGAAGCTCCTGGCTTCGGATCCACATAGCTCTGGCTGTTGTGACCATTTGGAGAGTGAACCAGAAGGTGGAAGACCTCTCTCTCTCTGCCTCTGCCTCTCTGTAACTGTCTTCCAAATAAATATATCTTTAAAAAAAAAAAAAAAAAAGAAGAAGAAGAAGAGAGGACCTGGAGATTGGTGCCCAGCATTTTCCTCCTCCTCCTCCACAGAGAAAAACCAAACCAACAAATAAATAGCCGCACTTCCAGGTAGTACATGAGGGAAAACTCTGCAACCCAGGAAGGGAGGTACAGGAGCCTGCAGGACACAGAAACCTGGGGTGACATAAAGAGAGGAGCAAAGGCCAGTGAGAAACCCGGCCCCATGGTTGGCTGGGGGAAATGGGATGCCTCAGCACAAAGCCTCAGGCTGGCAGCCAGTCCAGCTGCACAGGGGATGCGGACGTCACAGGCCTGGAGGCCAGCAGGCGAAGCTCCTGGATTACGCAAGGAGCTTGCTTCAGAGAAGGCACTCACAGTCCCTTGCCCATGTTGTGGCTGCACAACTGCCCCGGCCGAATCGGTACTGTCCTAGGGCACAGAAGGCCCTGCCACACCCACTTCCTGGGACCCCCAGACACTCCCACTACACTAGCATGGAAGACTCAGCCTCAGGAAACCAACCAGACGCAGCATAGCAACAGGGACCCCAGTACCCTCGCCCAGGCAGCACTGCACTACAAGAGGACGCATGGACCTCACAGCAGCAGGATCTTGCCCCAGGATGAGAGAAGTAGAGGCCCGTGCTCCCTCGGACCCAACTCCCTACTCTCCCTGCAACACCCAGAGCAGTGCTCCCCGCAGCTGGGACCTGCAGCACCAGCACTTCCAGCTGTGCACTCGCAACCTTCGTCCGACCCCTGTGAGTTGCCAGCCAACCCTCGGGAGCCTGCCAACACGGACAGTGATGTTCCTGTTATCCCGGCCCCCACCCCTAGCTCCCTGCTGGGACCCAAAGCATCCCAGTCAGCACTGCAGACTCAGGACCCTACAACGCCCCAAGCCACTGCAGGGACCACGGGACTGGCCTGTGCCTCAGGCAGCTGCTAGGACCTCGGGCCCCACCAGGATCGCGAACCTGTGCTCCCCTGACCGCTGCCCTGCCCCTGCTGGGATGGGAGAACAGCCCAGACTCCCACTGCTGATGGCACCAAAGGTAAAAGGAGGCTATATGATGGCACCCAAACCTACATCTAAGGATGCCACTTGAAAACAAATCCAGCTACTATGAAAACCATCTCACAAGTTGTAGAGACAACCAATACACAGACGGGCACATCTCAATACACTGACACAGACGTATGAAACAGCAAGGCAACACAACGCTTCCAAAGGAACTCGATACCTCGCTAGCAACAGACCCCAAAGAGTAGGAGACTGACAAAAAGCCCGATAAAGAACTCAAGAGATTGATTATAAATAAGATACAAGAGCACACAGACAGTTAAAGAAAATCAGGAAGACAGTGCATGATATGAATGAGAAATTCAGCAGAGAGAGGGAGGGAAAGAAGGGGAGATCTTAAATAGAATCACACAGATACACAGGAAATGAAGAACTCAATAAATCAAATAAAAAATACAGTAGAAAGCCTAAACAACAGACTAGATTAAGCAAAAGAAAGAAAATCTAAATATGAAGACAGGTCTTATAAAAAAAATCCCAAAGAAAAATGAAAATAAAGGAGGCCGGTACTGTGGCATAGCAGGTAAAGCCACTGCCTACAATGCCAGCATCCCATATGGGTGCCGGTTCGAGTCCCAGCTGCTCCTCTTCCAATACAGCTCTCTGCTATGGCCTGGGAAAGCAGCATAAGATGGTCCAAGTGCTTAGGCCCCTGTAGCCACGTGGGAAAGTCAGAGGAACTCCTGGCTCCTGGCTTCAGATTGGCCCAACTCTAGCCGTTGTGGCCATTTGAGGAGTGAACCAGTGGATGGAAGACCTCTCTTTGTCTCTGCCTCTTCCTCTCTGTAACTCTGCCTTTCAAATAAATAAATAAATCTTTTGAAAAAATGAAAATAAAACAATAAAGTATGAAGACAGCCAGCCAGATTGCTAGGACACTATAATAAAATGAACAAATCTTCTACTTCTCAAATGTGAAGGAAAGGGGAAAGGCATAAAAATCTATTCACTGGAGGCAGGTGTCGTGGCAGTAGGTTAGGCTGCTATTTGTGACCCTTGCCAGTTCGAGACCTGGCTACTGCACTCCCAATCCAGCCCCCTGCTGATGCATCCTGGGAGGCACCTGGTGAGGGCTCAAGTGTGTGGCCCCTACCACTCACGTGGCGGACTTGGATGGAGTTCCTAGCACCTGGCTTCGGCCTGGTCCAGCCTTCACTGTGGTGGGCATTTGGAGAGTGAACCAGCATAAGGAAGAGCTCCCCACTGCCTTTGCCCTGCCTTTTAAGCAAAAGGAAAAAAAAGAAAAAAAAAAAAACCACTGAAAAAAACTGTGTTCAATGAAACAACAGCTGAAAACTCCTCAATCTTGGGAATGACATGGACATCTACATACAGGAGGCCCACAGGGTCCCAGACAGACAAGACCAGAAAAAACCCTTACCACAGCTCACTACAGTCAAACTACTGAAAGACAACACAAAGACAGCATTCTAAAGTCTCCAAGAGAAAAATGCAGAGTCACACTGAGAGAACCTCCATGAATCTAACAGCATATTGTCAGCAGAAACCTTCCAGGCTGCTGACTCCGGGTTCCTGCTAATGCAGACCCTGGGAGGCAGCAGTGATGGCTCAAGTAATTGGGTCCCTGCCATCTACATGGGAGACCCAGTATGAGCTCCTGTCTCCTCCGGGTCTCAGCTTGGCTCAGTCCCAGCCATCTGCAGGTGTCTGAAGAGAAAACCAACAGACAGAATCTTTCTCTTTCTTCTTCTCCCTCTCCTAGGCTCTCAAATAAGTAAAAATTTTAAAAAGATCACTTATCATGATCAAGTGGGATTTATACCTGGAATGGAAAATGGTTCAACCTATGAAAAATTAATAAATACAAATACACCACAAAGGATAAAAATCACATGATTATCTCAGTAGATTCCAAAAAAAATTCAACAAAAATTCAATAGGTCTTCATGATAAATACCCTGAACAAATTATGTATAGAAGGATCTTACCTCAATATAATAAAGGTTTTATATATATGGTAAACTCAAGCCAACCTAATATTGAATAGAGAAAAGCTGAAAGCATTTGCTTCAAGACCTGGAACAAGACAAAGATGTCTATTCTCAGCACGCTTTTTTTTTTTTTTTTTAATTTTTATTTATTTGAAAGGCAGAGAGTCAGAGAGGAAGACAGACAGACCTCCCATCTGCTGGTTCACTCCCCAAATGCCCATAATGGCTGGGTCTGGGAAAGGCCAAAGCAGGGGCAGGGATCTGAATCCACATCTCCCAGATAGGTGGGATGGACTGAACTACCTGAGAAAACACCTGCTGCCCCTCAGGATGCCTATTGCCAGGAGGCTGGGATTGGAAGCAGAGCCACAACTCAAACTCAGACATCTGATATGGGAGGCAGGTCTCAACTGGCATTGTTTTAGAAAGTTTTTATTTATTTATTTATTTGAAAGGCCTACGGAGAGACACACAAAGCAGCCAAGGCTGGCACAGGCTGAAGCTAGGAGCCTAGAACTCAATCTGGATCTCAACCACTTGAGCCATCACCTGCTTCCTCCCAGGGTCCACATGAGCAGGAAGCTGGAATCAGAAGCATAGCCAGGACTCTGATCCAGAATTCTGATATGAGTTCTGGGTGTCCCACGTGGTGCCTTACCCACGAGGCCAAATGCCTGCCCCTACTCTCATTACTCTTATTCAATGTAGTACTGAAACTAACCAGAGTAATTAAGAGAGAGAAATAAAAGAGAAAGAAATAAAACGCATACTAATAGAAAGAGAAGAAGTTAAATTATCCTTGTTTGCAGATGATATGGTTCTATATGAATAAAAACCTAAAGACTCCACCAATACTATTAGAGCTTATAAATGAGTTCAGCAAATTTGTAGAATACAAAATCAGCCGGCGCCGCGGCTCACTAGGCTAATCCTCCGCCTTGCGGCGCTGGCACACCGGGTTCTAGTCCCAGTCGGGGCGCCGGATTCTGTCCCGGTTGCCCCTCTTCCAGGCCAGCTCTCTGCTGTGGCCCGGGAGTGCAGTGGAGGATGGCCCAAGTGCTTGGGCCCTGCACCCCATGGGAGACCAGGAGAAGCACCTGGCTCCTGCCATCGGATCAGCGCGGTGCGCCGGCCGCAGTGCGGCGGCCATTGGAGGGTGAACCAATGGCAAAGGAAGACCTTTCTCTCTGTCTCTCTCTCTCACTGTCCACTCTGCCTGTAAAAAAAAAAAAAAAAAAAAAAAAAAAAAAAGAATACAAAATCAACAAACAGGAATAGGACATTTATATACCAATAGTGAATTGTTCAAAAAGAAATCACGAAAGCAATCTCCTTCACTGTAGCTACCAAAATAATAAAATACCTAGGAATAAATTTAACCAAGGATGTAAGACTTCTATGAAAATTACAAAAATTGTAAAGATAAAACAAAAAATGAAAAAATCTCCTATGTGTATGAATTGGAACAATGTTATTAAAATCTCCACACAATCCTAAAATTTATGTGGAAACACAAAAGCAAAACAGTATGGAACAAAAAGAAAAAAACTGGAGGTATCACAATATGTGATTTCAGTATACACTACAGAGCTATGGTAATTAAAACAGCGTGAAGGGGCAGTGCTGTGGTGTAGCAGGTAAAGCCGCCACCTGCAGTGCTGGCATCCCATATGGGTACCAGTTTGAGTCCTGGCTGCTCCACTTTCGATCCAGCTCTCTGCTATGGCCAAGAAAGCAGTAGAAGATGGCCCGGGTCCTTGGGACCCTTTATCCACGTGGGTAAAGGAGCTCCTGGCTCCTGGTTTTGGATCGGCCCAGCTCCGGCCATTGTGACCATTTGGGGAGTGAACCAGCAGATGGAAGACCTCTCTCTCTCTCTGCCTCTAACTGTGCTTTTCAAATAAATAAATAAATCTAAAAACAAAAACAAAAACAAAAACAAACAAAAAACAGCTCCGTACAGACCCCAACTTAATTTCTGGACTTTCTTTCTCCCTTAAAGCCCTCACTCTCCTATGCATTTCTC